ATGTTAGCATCTTTTTTTTTGCACCTAGTTATTCAAAAAAATTGTCACAAGATGATGTTGTTTTAATATTTACTGCACTCTGGTGTAAACAGAAAGCCAAAATGGACAAAGTATTGGTCTAGCATTCTCATCATACTCATTTTGAACTTTATGAGAACTAGAGTTTATTTGGATAAGTATCCCCATTCTTCTTGTTTTCATCAGTTCCGGTAGACACATTCTTCAGCCACCCAAACTGTATTAGTCAAAGTATAAATAGAATCTAAAGAAGTAAAATGATGATTGACTCATTTCAAAATTTAAAATGTGAATGTTAGGGTACAGTGGTAATCAAACTCATCTCCAAAGTGATTAATAGTAAATGAACTTTCAGTGAATGCATTAAAAAAAAAACAAAAAAAAAACAGACTAAATAAAGTCAGTAAAGCTAAAAAGGTGTTTTAAAAGGTGTCTCAGCTTTTTTGTATATTTTTTTCTACATTTCACAAGCATCTTCAACTATATTATTACTATTATTGAGTGAGAGACCAGCATACTAACTAATTAATTAATGTTGGAGTGCAAATGAATCCCAACATACCGCACATAACACCCAGTTTGATACAGATATACCAGACACATGCATCACAGTCAAATGTGTACAATATGGTAAAAAAAGGTTTAATAAAAGCAGTGTATAACTTTGCAGTTGGGAGGAAAGTAAATATCTTCTGTTCGAGTAACCCAATTTGTTGAGATTGTTTCCAAATATTTAGACATTAATCCCAAGTCTCCTTGATTATGTTTTGAACTCCCTACCCAAGATGTTTTCTCAATCATGAACAGATAGGTACAGCACGTCAATCCCTAGAGAGAAATGCCCAACAGGTTATGGTCAGACAAGTCAGACTGTTGTATTGAAAGGCATATTTACTTTAGCTCATCTCAATCCCCCAGAATAAGATATGTATAGGTAAGCACTTCAAAGCCATCAAGATCAGAAGTACCAAGAGCCATGCCTGGTGTAGATTATTATCTTTGCCATCAATGCCCTTAGGCTTTATCTTTAATTTCACATATTTGTTTGTTTCTTTGTTTAGTGGCATATCAACTCCTTATTGGCTAAATGATTTTCTTGAGAACATTAGTAATTTCATTTACAAAAATGCATTGCTGGCAATATTTTTTTTTAGATGAAAATGTATAGCTGAAATTTTTAATATAAAATTGTAATTTTAGACTTTCATAGTGTTTTGATCCCATTTTGTGGTATTAACTATTTACCCATAGCTGGGATCCTAACATGTTCTACTATCCCGGGTCAGGGTGAACCTAGGAACAACAACAATTAAGAGATGGTTCCATGCTCCTAAAAAGCCTCCCGATCAGGTGCCCTGCTGCTGGATGTAGTTTATCGTCATACTCAGGACGCAATTTTAGAAGTTAAAATGTCATTTTAAACTTGGCCTCAAAATCTTACAGAGTTCATAAAAGTGCATGGAAATGAAACAACATCTGATCACAGTACCTGCCCAAAATGAGCTCAAGCATTTTAAGGGTGGTGACTCAACCCCTAAAATAAAACCAAACTGTTAATTATTGATACTTTAAAATAGAAAGTACAAAAGACAAGTAGCAGCATTGGAAAACTTTCATAAGAAACTGGATCATCAAATTTATGACATGAAAAGCTTTACATGTACTGTTTTCAAACTGGAAAAATAAATATATCAGTTGACCTCCCAACACTTTATTTAAAAAAAAAAAATAAATAAATAAATAAATAAAATAATGAATACTATATTATTTTTAAAAAATAAACAAAACACACGATATTGGGCATGATAGAAAGGGAGGAAGAGGATGTAGAGAAGGAAAGAAAAGAAGAAAAGCAAAGGTATTATAAATGTACTGGGAAGGCAGAGGGAGTAATTGAAATGTACATAACTTTTTTTTTTTTTTAAAGCCAGCCTCATATGTGCTTAAGAAGAATTTTTAGTATGTTTGCAAGGACTTATGACTTTGGATTTTTGGTTCAAAAGACATCAAAGTTTCAGTCCCTAATATTTGCGGTAGAAACTAACTAGCATTTAGTGTTATTTCCAAACCAATAAGGATTATGTAGTAGTGTACAATACAAACTGTCCATGGTGGGGGAAATGATTAGCTCAGTTTGTACAGCAGGGTATCTGATCAAAATTGGCGACACCTATAAGAAATTTTTGTCAGTCATTAATTTTCAGTAAATGGCAATTTCTTATTTTTCAGAAAATGGGCCAGCACAGACAGGCATGAATGCTATTAAAATGCTAGAGTGACAACATTAAAAAAAAAAAAAAAAAAAAACTTTTGATGTATCTTAGAATTTATTAAGTCTGCTTTCATCTGGCAAAACTAAACTGAAGATACTCCTCCCTAAATGGCCATGTAGCAGACAATGTTAAACTTTGTAAATATCTCAATAGCAGATATTTTTTTTTTTTTAAATAAACACAGTACTGAAATATATCTATTTACACACACAAAATTTCTCTCCTTAACATATATCACTGTGTGTCATTTAGAAATATTACTTCCCCTTTTATTGTATATGGAATCACCTCAAAGTATGTTTATATATTAGTTTTATATATTTGAAATTGTAGTTGTTTCACTTGTTGATTCATTGCTAGCATTATTTTACCAGCAAGTATTCAAATTCTTTCCCCTATCACCTTGAATCACATCTTCCAATGAACCAATAACATTTTCTACAAGAATTTCACCTGTTTTATGCTATCATAAGAGCTACCATTTTCTTTTCTGACAACCACTATTTCCCATACCATGGACTTTTCAAAATGTTATAAAAATACACATTTACCAACTGGTAAAGAAGAATATATATTTACCAATTAGTAAAAATCAGTACACAACTTATCTGCCAATAAGATTATTATTCATTTAGAATAATGATGCTTTATATATATATATATATATATATATATATATATAAAAATTTACTGTTTCAATGATTCATTTATGAATTTATACAAACTTCATCTGAGTACGTGTTTAGCAAATGGTATTATTATACATTGATTCTTTCAAATCAGTTTGTCAGGAAACTGGTTTGAAAGAATCACTCTAGAATAAAAAATATTATCATTTTTAAATGAATGATAATTCCTCAACAAAAAAAAAAAAAAAATTACCCGGGCCTTGAAGGAGGTAAGCCGGCATGCCAACACAAACATGGAAGGAATATGGGGCCTCCCTGGTCAACGAGGCCTTGTGCTTAAGCACATCTAAGCATAATGATAAATCTGGGACTGCTTACATTCTAATACCCTTGGGAAAGATATGAATCAAACTCTTCTCCTATCGATGGGTAAATAGCAGGACAGATTGGGCCTTGGGTGGCAACTGGAGAAGCAAAACTCTGAATTTTTAAGCTGTATGTATCCCTAGCGAAGCACATATGATGCAGCTAAGGGAAGGATTATTTGCATTGACTCGATGATCCTGACTATGGTCGACTCTTTCTCCCCTCACCATTGTCCCTGAAAACAAGGGATATATTTTACTTTACAGAATAATAAATGGATCCCTGAGCAGTAAGGTAACTTGTAGCAGATGAGAGTCATTGACAAATGGCACAAAGTATCATGTTGGAAGACACTGTGTGTACACAATGTGTGTGGATAGGTTATTGCAAGTATACAGAAATGTTAATTTACTTATATAAATTACAATATATAACTGTATCATACTTTTTACAGAATGCACAGATACTACACTGATCCGAGACAGAAATGCCAAACAATATTAAAATAAATGATTTATTTTTTTGACTAGTAGCATAATAGTAATAATGTTCATAATAATATATAAAACGGGTTTGTGATAGAGCAGTTATAAATTAATTCCGAAATCTAAATAATTGGTATGCAATTTTATTTTATTTTTGGAGATAATAATGGTTTAGTGATACTAAATTTTACTAATCACTATGCTCCTTCCAAATAATAGGAGTAGATAGGTTTGCTTATCACCTGGTTCACTTTCCTCCCTGGCTTTTTGAACAGGAGTAAAGGTTTTCCATTTTTTTCTTGTTTCGGTTGGGTTTCTGGTTCCTTCTAAAATCTTTTCATTCTCTTTCACTCCCAGTATCCCTCTTGCATCTTAGTGACATTATTGCCTTGATTGTCGTGAAGTGATTAAAAAATTCTAAATCATAGAGTGAGTATATACTAAAGGGTGTTCCAATAACTTGGACAGATTTTAAATGTGAATTAAATTTAAGTGTCGATTGAATTTTTTCTTCTTCTTTCAGATTTAACAACTTAATTCTTTGGCAATTTCAACCATGGAAAGATTAACAATCAAACAATGTCGCAAAGTTTCAAGAGTGCAATTGGAAAAATTGTTCCCAAATCCAAACAAACTGGGTTGGTGGCAGATGTGAAAACACCATTACACGCTCATTTACACCATTCAGCTGAAAACATTGCTGCAGTGCATGAGAATGTGGCTGAAAAATCCAGACCCCACTATTTGTCATCAAGCACAGGAATTGAACCTCTCCACAACAATGTTACATTGTTTTCAACTCTACCCTCGATTGGTCGATTATCTTGACTAAGAAAAACAAAAAAAAAAATTGTGAAGTGTGCAAAATGCATTTCTGTTTGAACGTCCATTTTTGTAATAGGCTTCAATAATATTAGCAAATTGTTTGATTGTTAATCTTTCCATGGTTGAAACTGCAAGTTGTTAAATCTGAAAAAAAAAAAAAAAAAAAAAAAAAAATCTTTAGACGCTTAAAATTAATTCACACTTAAAATTGGTCCAAGTTATTGGAACACCATTTACATTGGAGGTGGAGCAAGGGTACAGTAAGAAAACAAAAGAGATACTAAATAAGTATAAAATAGTAAATGCAAAAACTTTTGATCACATTTTGGTTAAATGAAACTGTAGTCATACAAAGAGACTTATTCCTGTGATATTGACAACCTAAAAATTAGTTTGGTACTTACCTCGTTTATATGTTTGTATGTTTTAATAAGTTCCACACTAAGCTTTCGTAGTGGTGCATGACTGGGGTCACGAAAGGTTAATGGAATGCGATTTTGCATGGCAGTTAGGTCGTGATGTGAGACGGCAGCAGCTGCAGCAGCTGCAGCACTCAAAGCCATGCTGTTCAGTTCGTGGTTGTGATGGCTTCCAGCCAGAGCGGACGACACGGTAGTACCACTGTCCGCCATGGTCACCAGCTGGTCAGAACAGCCTACTAACTGGCCATAGACCATTGAGGGCACATGTCGAGCTTTCGCAAGCTGACCTGTAATGAGATAAAGGTGTGAAAAAAGTAGAAAATTAATACTTAAATAGATAAAATTTTTACTTGAGAAAAAAAATTATTTAATAGTCATATTTTAAAGTATTTCATGTGTGTGTTCACAATACAAAGTTTTTGCTAAAAAAGATTAATAATTAGCACAGTTAAAAAACAAAAAAGAAAAACAAAAGGTTCAGATACAGACTTCTTTTTGTAAAAAATAATTTTAATAAACTTGATATTTATATGACTTGTGATATCACAAGCAGGGTTTATTGAACAAATGCATCAGAATGGTCACACTAATGATTACATGTATTTCATTGATATATATAAGACAAAAGGATAACTTATCTTGTTGATGTTTCATCTTCTGATGGAGAAAAAAAAAAGAAAAAAAGCCCATCAGAGGATGAATCGTATTACCTAAGATAAGTTTTTCTTTTTTCTTTATTTATGTTGTGTGTGTTTGTGTGAGAGATACATTCAGAAAGAGAAAGAAATAAATTTCACTGTGGATTAGATACATATGCTAAGGTTGTTTTTTTTTTTTTTTTCTTTTTTTGGTGAAACATCTGACAACTGGTTCAGTCTAAAACTTTGTTTTTGGCATTTTTGGATTGCAATCTATTCTATTCTAGGTTGGTTTTCTTACAGGAAATTTCTCAATTATTCAATGATTTGTACATTACTAAGTTGGGTTGGTTCTTATTTTCATCTTCAGTTCCTTCTATTTTTTTTTTTTTTTTTAAATTAATCAATGATATTGGATTGTCATTTAACATGGATTGCAATTAAGCCCTACAGAGATGACAAGACTTCAGCTATCCTCATCAATGCCCACTGATTTTGCCACCCCTTTCCCCATTTAGTTTCAGTCATGTATAAGCTAAATATTTCTCATGAGGATGAGGAAAGAAATCAGTGATTTTTGGCAAGTTTCAGTGCTTAGTATGTAGTACAATGAAAATCAAAACAAAATTTTGTGTCAATAGTTGATCTGGAATTAATACAAATTAATTACTGATAAGATCAACTCATTTCATGTCATATTACTGCATATTTCAAAAGTCCTTTAAAAAATTTAAAGTTTTTTAATACTAATTTACTTGTATGTTGCAACTGCATTTTTAAATAATGGTAGCTGCAAAGATGAATAACTAGATAACTTCAGTTATGCTTGACACACTTATTTGTTTAATTTTATATCATCCTTAATGATTTTACAAGCAGATGATGTAAGCATTTTGTCAGGTAAGTTTTAACACCTTAAGTATATTCTTAATTTTACCAAATACCTGTAATACGGGTACTAGGTAAATAAATAAAATAAAAAATAAGATGGGTGGAGTTATATTGCACCCAGAAATAAACTTTTTTTCTTCAACTCCAGATCATGAATAAAAAAAAATTAATTCATATGTTAATAGGGTTTTATTGATTGATTCACTTTCTATGGCTTATCAACCCTTTGCAGGTTATTTAAAACCAGAAAATAGTTTTTTATTGCAAGAATTTATTATTTTGGAGATGATAATGGTTTAGTGATACAAGTCTTACTAATTAACCCATAGCTAGAGGGGAGAAGAGATGGATTCATATTTTTCCTATCTAGGTATTGACGAGGCTCATTGTTGCTTAACTTTGGTGAACGTATGGGAACCAGTGTTTCAATGTAAGCTTTTTTCCATTTTGCTATGGATTCAAAAAACAAAGTACCATGTGTTTTCTGAAAATGTTAAACTAAATTTCAAATTTGTAACTGGGAATTTTTTTATTTTCATATATTACTAAAATTAACCCTCCCAACTATAAATTTAGATTTTGTTTTTTTTTTTTAAATTTTTTATTTGCATTTTATGAAAACAAGTGGTATAGGCACATATTGTTTTGACTTCCATAGGGAGGGATTAATTGACACTGAATTCACTTAGCAAAACTGCCCCCCCCCCATTAACTTTTATAAGATTTATTTAATTTATGTTTGTTTAGAGTGCTTAGTAATATGGGGGAAAAGAAAATTATTACTTTTGGTCAAAGTGCCTATTGTAGAACTCAACCATAAGATTTAAGAATCTCATTAGGCAAGGAAAACAAAAAAAAGATTGTTTTTTTTTTTTAAAAAAAAGAAGAAAAAAAAAAGTGTTAAATTTTGGGCGCGGGGGTGCATCGGATAAATTAACAAATGTTAAAGCAACAAAATTGATGATGGGAGAACGGGGAATCATTTTAAAATACGAGACAGACCACTGAAATTTTCCACTTTCTTTATTATTCCCGGGTTAAATAGATATAGAAATCTAAATATTTCGATCATAAAATAAATTTTCCCTCAACATTGAGATTGGAATTAAACCATGAGAGTTATCTCCCCTTGAATAATAGATACTCAACAAAGAAAGAATGAACAAACAAAAAATGAAATTTTTAAAAACATTGTGCATTAATAGCAGCTACAATTGATATCTGAAGGTTTTGAATATTTTTATAATAAATCATAAACGTAAAAATAGGCCCAAATTAATATACTTCTTGGTTTTTGATAATGCATTAAAAAAACAACAAAAAACATGAAAAACAAAACAACGAAAAAGTAAAACTAAAAATACTTTTAAAAACTGAAAGCATAAAATTCGACATAAACACAAGCTTTCTTTTAATACTTATTCTTTATTAGCAAAATATTTCACTAGATATTAATAAAGTAACTTTCTTCCAACAATGCATTCGAACTTTATTAAAGTTCGTATGTATTGTTGGAAAGACACTACACAAGGTATGATGAAAAGTTCACGGCCCAAAGAAGGGATTTTCTTTTTTTTTTTTTTTTAAATCTGATATACACTCTTTTGGCTAGATTTTGGGAACGGATCTCTTTAAAAAAAATAAATTAGTAGGTGTAAACATTCATCATTTTTACAACCTTTTTACTTAAAGTAAACCAGTGAACATCAATTTCTTTTTCTTATCAACATTGTTATGGTTGCGCTTAGGGAAAAAAAAAAACAAACAAAAACACACACACACACGGGATTTTTAAAAAAAAATCCCTTAAAAAAAAAAAAAAAAAAAAAAAAAAAAAAAAGAAAAAAGTTCTTCGTCTTTCTTTACTTTCTTTATTCAATGCGTTTTTACTTTTTGAGACACTTTTTAAAAAGACGAGGACAAAAACGTCCTCACTTAAATTTACTAAAAATTTATTTATTGAATTGTAAGGCAAAAAAAATAAAAGAGAGAGAGGAAAACAGCGAATAACCTAGCTGACAAGTTTTTGTGTATGGTTGGTAGGACAGGGATTTAAAAAGACAACCATTGCTAAGAAGATAAGAGCTATAAAGGAACAGGAAGTTGTGGAGAACCATGATAGCTCACGTCACATAAAATAAGATTATGAACTGGTATTTCCTCGGCTTCGATCACCTTGGTTGTTAACAAAAAAAAATGGCAGAGAATAGTGAATTTTTTGGTTATCTTTTATCCACAAAAAAGTGATGGGTGCCGTATATTATTCTACTGTAGAATACAATATTTGCTTAGATCTGTTTACAACACAAACACGAGGCAAAATAAAGTACAAACATCAGTTTAAAAAGAACCGAGATGACGTTCTACCAATAAATATTGAGAATAGTTAAGGACTATGAAGCAAGCAAGTGACAAATGAAAAAGGTTTTATGGAGGATTTGAACGAGAAAGACACACATTCATTAACAATCAAAAAGTCACAGATGACATTTTGGGGAATGCATAATGAAGATTTGATTTGTTTAAATACATATCAACATCTTATGGGTCATTTATACAGAAATTTAATTTTTTTGAGAGCTTGAAGTAATATGTTATTCTGCTTTCACACAAGATAGTTAATACTTATCCATTGTGAATATACATTTGTGTGGACATAATTACTAGAGAGGCAGTGATATGTGTGTTTTATGTTGTAGTTTTGTTGAAGTTATATTTTGGAATACAGTTTGATTTCTTAAAAAAAAAAAAAAAAAAAAAAATCAAAGATATTATATAGATTAATGTCATGAAAGAGTCCTTTGTTGAGTGATGTATTAAGTTTACTATAAATAGGTATTTTTTTTATATATATAAAAATGTATTGCTGGTATTTTTACTATAAAAATGTATTTTTATACTTTCATAGTGTTCACTAATTCCCCATAGCTGGGACTAACAGTTGCTACCACCCTGGATAAAGGTGGCCCTGGGAACAACAGCAATTAAGAGGTGGTTCCATACTCCTCGAAACATCTGATCTCCTAATCAGAAGCCTTGCTGTTGAATGTAAGATAATGAGAAAATATAGGAAGAATTTGATACAAGAAGGTAGGACAAGCAGTGAATAAACTACTAGATAAGTATGAACAAATAGAGCAGAAAAAAAGTAGAGATAAGATAGAATATAAATAAAAGAGTGGAATGTTTAGCTTGTCAGAGTATGAAATCAAGTAAATATATTTTGAATTAAAAAGTTTCTATTCATTACTAAATACCTACATATTTCCAGAACAAACTGAAATATGCTTAGGCTTGTCTAAATTTGATGCTAAACAACTAATTCAGAAAGAGAAAGAAAAAACAAAATCTTCTATAAGTGATAAATGTTTTGACATTTATAGGTCATGCATGTTGAGCATGACTCCCTACAATGTTGATAAAGTTCCCTTATATGGCAGTAAATATTCAAAACCTTCCTACAAGACTAAATTAAATCTTTTATGGAGACATTCGACAAGAAAAAACAAAAAAACTTAGACAAAAGAACAAATAAAATTTATTTAATTCTACTATTATTTACTACTACTTATGAGGGGTTGTTGAGTAATTTTAGACCAACCAAACAGTATTTCATTTTCTTTGGAAGGATTTATTGGTCTAGCCGAGAACTTTTCAGAGATTCATCATCCAATATCAACAATGAAGCTATAAAAGGAAACAAAAAATTAAAATGGGGGCCAAAACTAGTAAAAAATGATAATGAAAATACTTTTATTATTATATTTCACAATTAAGAATTAACACTACCATACAAAGTTGTTATTGCTTAACCTATTATAAGTGAAGGTATAGAAAAAAAAAAACAACTTAAGATTACTGAATGCAAGCTGAAGAAGTCTGAAGAGTCAAGTGGCTGAAATGCAATGGAAGAGACAAGGATGATGATGATGACTGCCCAAATAATTATTCAATATTTTATTTCTCTGAATTAGATGGAATAGAGGAGCTTTGGTAAGAAAAGACGAGAAAGAGAAAGAAATAACTAAACATAATAACTAAATGTCTTCAAATAATTTCTTTTGAATAATCTTGTCTTACAAACAAATAGAAAAAAAAATCAGTTAGGATAAATTAAAAAAAAAAAAAATGAAAATAAAAAGTAATTCAGAATGATTCAAAGAAAATCAACTCTGACAAGACAAAGCATGCGAGTCACATGTCAGAACAAGTTCTGATATAATCCAAAGCAATGAAGCATGTAAGGACATCTTGCTGTGATTAAAGTGGGTGAAAGTATTGTCTAGATTAGGGTCAGACCTTCACAAGCCCTTAGTTTTCTGAGTTATAAGTACTCTGATTTTATCAAAATATATCTAATCTGGATAAAGACATAACAGATTATTATTATTATTATGATAACAATATCTCTTCCAAAAAGATTTGATATGGCAGTTGAACAGTAAGGTGGTAACCTGACATTAGCTGAACTTTGATTTGAAATTTTCACTCTCTATAATGTTGCTAATAATTAGCACTGAATTTAGTGCATTGACAAGGAAGGAGATTATGTTGAAAAATAAATGGTTTGGATTAAAATTCTAAGAATGTTATCAAATACAATTTGCCCCAGAAGACGGTCAGAGGTTACAGTGGCAAAAATGTTGACTCAAAAACTGAAGGTTGTGTTTCTTGCAAACAATAATTTATTAAAATAAATAAAATGCAAACCTAATTTATTAAAATAAATTTAACAGATCTGAGTAAAAGAAGATACAAAGGAAGTCCATGCAGGCCAAATATGACAATTCACTCAACCTAGAAACCTCAAAATAGATCACAGTGTTTTTTTAAGTATGGGGTGATATGTACAGGTTCCATTAGCTTTTTGTAAACAGATTTGAGAACAGACAGACTGGTGGCTTTAAGTGATGCTAATAGTATTGAATGATACAAATACACCTCACTATACACACTGTCAAGACTACTAAAGATATACCCTATATACTTGTGTATAAACTAACCCAATTAAAAGCCACCCTTGTTGATTTGATGTCTGATAAATGGGCAAAAATCAAAAACCAGTGTATAAGCCGAGGCAGCTAATCGACATTTTCAGATAGTTCAGATTTGTAAATTACCATGAATAGAAAATATTTTTTAGGAAATGTTAATATTTTGATATCTAAAATGTTTTTAAGTGTCATTTAAAGGCGGCTTTTTGCTTCACAAGTCTTTTACACAATTTTCTTTTTTATCATTTAGGCCGTTTTATAAAGTTTCAACAAGTTTTTTTAATCTTTGTTTACTCCCTTTTAGCAGACAATAACCCCATTTTCTAAAGGTAATAGGATTTTATTTGACAAACGGAATGAAATGTGTGCATTAAAAAAATCTTGGAAACCATTTAACATTGTAGTAGATCCATTTTTGCAAAGTTATTAAAGCTTTATTTAGTGAATACAATAAGAAAATAAGAGCTTGTGTAAATAAAAAAAAAAAACAACTTTAATATCTAAATTTCACAGGAGGACAGAAACAAAAATATTGAATTTATAATATTTTCAATTTAAAATCTTTTAAAATCTGAATAATCAATAATCAATAATCAATAATCAATCAGCTCCAAAAAGCTGTAAACATTCCTTCCGAGTAATTTTCTCCTCCTGATCCCAATCAGAACAAGACTATTCCTGGTTTTCATTTTCAGATGCCCAGAGATAATCATCATGGGTGACCATACATGTTATACTTGTTTTAAGGAAACTTTTTGCTACCATTCCCATGAGTAAAGAACCCAATGTACCATTTTTTTTGTTTTTCTTGTACCCTGGCCACATATAAAATAGCAATTCTGATCACGATACACGTTAACAAAAATCTCAAGCCCCAATTCAGTCAGTCAAATAAACCCATTGATTTTCTCCATTATTCTCAAGAACCATTACAAGATTTGGTGCAAAAGTTTCTAGTATATTTTTTTTTTTTTTTTTTAAGAAAATCTTTTATTTGCATACATTTAATCACCACTTTTTTCACACTCTTCCCCAGTCTTTTGTACAGGAATAAAGGTTTACCCTTTTTTTTTCCTGTTTAGGAATGGGTTTCTGAAATCCTTCTAAAATCTTTTCTCTTTCACTCCCAGTAGCCCTTTGCGTTTTAGTGGCATTATCACCTTGGTTTATATGGCGGTGAATTAGTAAAAATAAATTAAAAAAATCCATATTCCATCATAAAAGATGGATTCAAATTCTAATTCAAGCAATTTTTCATGGTCTTGAACTTGTTTAAAGCATGTTGCATCAAGTGAAGCAAGGAGAATCTTGAGGTGACAGGTCCTGGAAAAGATGTTGCACATGGAAAGGTTGTCTATCCACAGACCATGAGAATAGGTAGAGAGCAGGGGGTGGGGAGACAAGAGACAGAGAGTCTGGGGGTGGGGAAGCAAGAGAGAGAGAGATCGAGGGGGGGAATTTAGAGAGAGAGCGAGGGGGAAGCAAGAGAGGGAGGGGGGAAGAGAGAGAGAGAGATCGGGGGGAAGCAAAGAGAGAGAGAGAGCGAGGGGGGAAGCAAGAGAGAGAGAGATAGGGGGAAGCAAGAGAGAGAGAGAGCGAGGGGGGGAAGAGAGAGAGGGAGAAAAAAGCAAGAGAGAGAGAGAGGGGGGAAGAAAGAGAGAGAGAGAGGGGGGGGGAAGCAAGAGAGAGAGAGAGAGGGGGGAAGAGAGAGAGAGAGAGGGGGGAAGCAAGAGAGAGAGAGGGAGGGGGGAAGCAAGAGAGAGAGCCTGGAGAAATTAAAATTTTTGTTTTAGGGAGAAGGAAGAGAGAGAGAGAGAGGGGGGAAGCAAAGAGAGAGAGGGGGGGAAGCAAGAGAGAGAGAGGGGGAGCAAGAGAGAGGGGGAAGCAAGAGAGAGGGGAAGCAAGAGAGAGAGAGGAGGGGGGAAGCAAGAGAGAGCGGGGGGAAGCAAGAGAGAGCGAGGGGGGGAAGCAAGAGAGAGAGAGGGGGGAAGCAAGAGAGAGGGGGAAGAAGAGAGAGGGAAGCAAAGAGAGAGAGAGAGGGGGAAGCAAGAGAGAGAGCGGGGGGGGGAAGCAAGAGAGAGAGAGCGAGGGGGGGAAGCAAGAGAGAGAGAGAGAGGGGGGGAAGCAAGAGAGAGAGAGAGCCTGGTGTAAATTAAAATTTTGTTTTATCTCTGTCCTCATTCTGATCTTCTTCAGACGTTTCTTAAAATCCTTTCAGTTTCCAGTCGTCTGGCCTAATCACTGAGCCAAAAAAAAAAAAAAAAAAAAAAAAAATAAAGAACGAGCCACAAAGACATGGAACTAAAGATGAGCAGTTCCATGTGTAAGGTTAAGCAAACGTATTGATGAAAATAATGAAGAACCAGACTGATGCTATTGGGGATGTAGGTGGAATGGGCTTCATAGACGACAAGTTGTCTTGGACACTTTTAAAGTTGATTTCAATATGGAAAGGGCAGCAAGTACTATTTGGACAGAAAAAAAGAAGACAAAGATCTATTTCATAGTAACAGGAGAATATGCCGGATGAGAAAGTACAATGTTTCTTATTAGACTAAAATACAAAAAAGATCAAAGTGATTGTTGAAAGAGAGAGAGAGAGAGAGAGAGAGACACGCACATACAATGAATAATAAATAAGCTGAGAGAGAGAGAGAGAGAAAGGCAAAATGCAGAGAGATAATGAGAGAGAGAGAAGAGGGGATTTAAAAAACAAACAAAAAAATACCTTTGTAATATTTTGAAGATTGTAGAAAAAGTCACCATAAATTTCACAAAATCTTTGTAAGATACACTATAGGCTAAAAGTTTAGGAAACACCTCTGGATTTAATAATTAGTAAGTTTCATACTTTCTTTTGTCTAATTAACTTCTACTAAGAGAGATGTTGAAACTATATAACTCGGTGGTTCTCAAATGGTGTGCCTGGGTACACAGTAGTACCCTGAATTTCCAGAGAAATATGTATCCAGATAGAAGAAATAAATATATTTACTTTATTATATTGTGGTACCTGTCTTGTTCGTATTTATGTGAATTAGGCTTTTCTGCTCTCATCACAATTAAGTGCAAAAAGAAAGGAACTCTTCAATGCCTTGACTAGGAAATGAGAGTTTGCCTGTCAAATATATGTCCAAACAGTAAAGAAATCGCAAAGACTCATCAAGCTCATGTTTCTCATAAACACAAGAATTAAGGTATGTTTCAATTTATATATTTTTATTGCATTATTTCTTTTCTATAATATTTCATATTTTTCTGAAATTTGTATATAGTGTGCCTACAATTATTGGTAGGATTTCAAGTGCACCCCAACTTTGAGAATCACTGATTTAATCCATTAAAGCATCATATTCAATTTTTTAGAAAGAGGATTACCTAGAATTTAATATCTGCTTGCCCTAAGATTAGTCAGCAAGATCAGTCAGCAAATACCATACAGACTTAAGCAATCATGTGTCTTTACATAACTGATGAGGCAGATTTTTTCCCACAGTAGGTTGCCATTTCTTTCTGTGGTAGACCAGTTGCCATCTAAGGCTATAGAACTCGGTCTGTCCTGCTATTTACCCATAGCTGGGGCGGGGGGAGAAGAAGAGGATTTATACCCTTCACAAGAGTATTAGCATGTAAATGAATGTAATCGATCTGACTGGAATTTGCTCTCTGATTTCTCAATCTGAGCTGCTATCCATAACTACCATGCCAGCAAGGTAGATCAGGCAAAAAGAGATAAAATTTTAAGGAAACTTTCTGCAGTAATGCTTTAATTTTATTATTACTACTATTAATGGTGTGCTTTATTAATAAGGCATGCCATGTTATTATTGAATCTATGATGAAATATTTTAGGAAGAGAAAGTCCCTCTAGACCGAAGTGAGCTAATAAATCTCAAGACGTACACCAGTGGAGGAGATGCAGCAGGAACTGCTCTTGGTTGAGAGTGAATGTTTTTAGTAAGGGACTTATATGTGTGGTGGCAGTAAGATGGTCATTCTACAGTACAGACAGGACAAGTCTATGTCCTGTTAGTGTGACTAAGTAGCCATCTTCACATATAGCACTGTTAACTCTAAGTGAAGGCATCCTAAAGAAAGCTTGCCTCATAAGCACTCATCCAAATGAGTTGACCCATTTTTTGCAGGTGACAAGAAAGGAAACAACACACAAAAACAAACAAGGAAATGCTTCATTCTCACTTTTAGGAACATCTTTATCCTTATGGATACACCAAGAACTCAAAGAATGGCCCTTTTTCTCAGAACTAGAATGACACAAAGTAATTTGTGATCTAAGCAATTTCTTCTTTGTCCATTCCTATCAGACCAGTTTATTTTATTTATAGCCAAGTTGATTTTTTCTGGAAGCAGATTTTTCCATCATTATTCCTTTGAACTCAGCAGAAAAAAAGATAAGTATTCTTCCCATATCTACATGGGTTGCTGTATGATCACTGAAGTTAAGCCCAGCCTTAGATGGGTGACCGCTCGGGAATACCTGGTGCTGTAAGCTTGGATGTAATAGATAACATATTGGAATTGTTAAGAAAATATTTTATAGATTGCAAGAATTTTTTTTTGTTGGAGATAATAGTTTAGCAATACAAGTCTTACTAATTAACCCATAGCTGGGGGAAGAAGAGGTGAATTCTTATCTTTCCCATGGCTATTTGTATGTAACTGAATATAAACCCAATTGGAACTTAGCCAATTTCCAATTCCTGCTGGGTTTATATTCAGTAATGCACATGACCTCTGGTTAAAGTTCATACCTGACTGTGAGCAACATAGTATCGAGATTGATGTCCCCAAAAATTGTAATTCCAGAAATCTGATATATTATGGTCCTGATTCATGTTTGAGTAGATGCTCCATTATTTATTAAATGGTATTTTTTTTTTCGTATACTAGTCTGAATTGTTAGAGAAATCTTATTAAAGAAAAATATATGCTCTCTGGCAGGATTTGAACCTTCATCACTCTGGGCAGAGGGAAACCATCGTTAAATCTGATGTGCCTATTCAGACCTTGCTTGATTGGCAAAGGTCCTTTAATTTAACAATGGTTTTCCTCTGCTCAGAGGGATGTAGGTTCAAATCCTGCCGGAGAGCGCATATTTTTATTTAATAGGATTTCACTAATATTCAGGCCAGTAGCCGAAAAAAATAAATATACTGTTTAAGAAATGGAGCGTCTACACAAATATGGGTATTCGCTAAAAATAACACTTAAAATGATCCAAGTTTGCAATGATTTATGTAAATACAAAAAATAAAAAAAAAATTTAAAAAAATTAGATATTAAAAGGAAAAAAAAAAGGAAGAAAATACTTTTCAAAAAATAACATCTGTATTTGAGAATACACACACACTATATATATATATATATATATATATATATATATATATATAAACTTGGGCACAGTATTTTTAAAAATTGTATCAGTTGCATATCACACTGCAATTTTCTTTTATAATAGAGTTAGAAAACTCCTAGATTATTTACTGAATGAACCTGAACTGTATTTTGCAAAAATATGTCAAACTTCTTTATTTGTGAACATACATCTGGACACATACCTAAAAACAGTAAACAGATTGAACTCTTGAACAGATAATACCATTAACTGACTTAAAAATTAAGTAAAATTTAAAGTAAATGGCCTATATATATATATATATATATATATATATTATACACACACACACACACACAAAGTGTTAAATGCAGCCACATGCTTGTCTTCTGCAAAACCATGCCTGGCAACAGGAGACAGCAGACAAGCACACAACTTTGTTGCAACAGAGTGATGTTCAGGAAGGCATGATGTCACGGACAGATGGTTGCTATACTGGTTACAAAATGATGGCGAAAGGAACTGAAAATGAGACGAAGCTAGAGAGGAGTGATTGAAAAGAGAAAAGAAAATCTCTCGTGAGAGTAAGAGAGAAAGAGATAGACAGCACGTGAGGAATTGCAGAAAAGAAAAATGAAAGAATGCACAGAGTAGGCACTGAATAAGTTCGACATCAGCATGTGATTGGCTCAGAGACAGACTGATAAAATGAACAAAAAAAAATATCAATGATTTTAAAATGAGTGTACAGTTTGGATAATGAACTTTCAAAATGTATAAATTAATTATTTTCTTTATGGAACAGAAACAGATTATTTTTCAATCGGAATTTGTCTAAGGCTGATTTTGAAATCTACAGATGATTATCTTTGATGCTTTTTATGTGACTGATTACTTTTTATGGCTTATCAACCTTATGTGGGTCATTTAAGCTGAAATAGATTTTGGTTTTATGACTTGACTGATTTGTTTTTTATGGCTTATCAACTCTTTGCAGGTTATTTAAAGACAGAAATTTCTTTTTTACATTGTAAGAATTTCTTTTTTTGAGATAATGATTTACTGATACAAGTTTTACTATTTAACCTATAACCGGGGAGGAGAAGAGTTGAATTCATACCTTTCCAAAGGGTATTTGCACATAAGTGAATATAATGAACCCAACTGGAATTGGAACTTGGCTCTCCAATTAACAATGCTGAGCCATTATCCATTACACCACATACACATCCAAGCTTACAGAACCTGGTATTTCCAAGTGGTCACCAATCTCAGTAATGATCATGCTCAATGTTGCTTATCTTTATTGATCATACAGCAGCTGGTGTTTTTAACTTGATATGGCCGTAAGCCACAGATTTGGGATCATGAAAATACTGCATAAACAATTTGTTTGTTTTTTAGATAATAATGATCCTCCCACCTCCCAATACAAGTCCTATTATTTAACCCATAACTTGGGGAGAGAATATCTTTGCCAAAGAGTATTTGCATATAAGTTAATGTAACAAACCTGACCAGAAATTAAACTTGGCTCTCTGATTTCTTGTTTCAAGATGCTATCCACATTATACAACCTACATATCCTTATATTAAAAAAAAAAAAGATTTTTGATTATTGATCACATAACAAAAACTGATAATTGATAATGGATCAAACTTTTAAAATGATAAAACTTTGCAAAGATTCTCCTATCCTGCCATATAGAAAAAGAGAGGAAGGGGAATTGAAGACCCTCATTGAACCGATTACATAAAAAGCAAAACCATGACTATACACAAAGAAATGACAAGATTCATAGACCTTTCCATTTAGGATTAAGTGTTGTTTCAAACCCTAAACCCAGGATCAGTATAGTATGTGTGTAAACTATTACACACACACAAATATCCATTGTACTTTATATGTGTGGCTTATTATTGGTTGCTTTACTCAGGTTAACGATCCTTTGATGTTTTGTAGATCCATTACTACATTGAAGCAAGTTCAATCTTCACTAGGTGTCCAAGACATCCAGCTTTATGCAAATCTGAGTTATGTCATGCAGATATTATATATGGAGGACTCTACCATCGTTTTTTAATGTATGAGAGACCAGCAACTGAGTTCTTAGAACCAAACAGTCAAACTACCCGCACATATGATTTGATTATAGTGGCAAAGGCTTGTGCAGAACCAACCACACTTTTCAGAAGTGCCAAATACAGAGAACTGGTGCACAGCAGTGTACTACAAAGTTCCCAAACAACCCACCTCAGGTTTTGAATTCAGAGTTGTCCTTATCCTAGACCATTTGTCACCCAAGCGTTTGTTCTGCTATTTACCTATAGCTAGGGGGAGAAGAGATGTATTCATACATAACATGTAAGTGAATGTAATAAACTTGGCTCCACAATACTCCAACGTGTGTGTGTGTGTGTGTGTGTGTGTGTGTATATATGTATGTATGTATGTGCGCTGAAATGTTCTTGGCCTGATTTACATCTTGAAATTACTAACATTTTTTGTTTAGTTTCTTGTATATAGTTTTCCTTCATTTTTGTAAATATTCATTGGTGTTTAGATTTTTAAATTGTTATTTTATTCCCCTCCACTGACAAACAATGAACTGTACATATGGGGATTAGTTAGGACTTTTCATAGAGGCAATGAGGTATTATGGTGGATGCAGCAAGGAAGGTAAGTAAGAATGCGTTATTGCGGTGTAAGGAACATTGTTATATGTTTGGGTCTGTGTTTGTGGTTAGCTAAGTTTAACCTTAACACAGAAGAAGACTGTCTTTTCCATATTCCCGTTTTTTGGCCTTGTGTCGCATTTTCTGTATTTGAAGCAGAAATAAATATCGCTCTTCGTTCATTTGGGCTATTTTTAAATTGTTGTTTTATTCCTCTCTCCCTTCAGACAATGAATTATACATATGGCAACTAGTTAGGACTTTCATGGAGACAATGAGGTATGATGGTGGATGTAGTAAGAAAAGTAAATAAGAATTCATTGTTTTGGTGTAAGGAATATTGTTGTATGTTTGGGTCAGTGTTTGTGGCTACCTAAGTTTAACGTTAAGGCAGAAGAAGACCATCTTCTCCCCCACTCCCCTTACGGCCTTGTGCCACATTTTGTATCATTATACAAATAAATATCTTCCACATCTTGAAATCTAACCAAACAGAATTTTTTTTATCCCTGAATCTCATAGATGAAGTGGGAACACAAGTTATTACTAGTGAATTGAGAGTTTGCACTCCATTCTTATGGCCTTGTGCCACATTACGCTAAGTTTAGTAAATGACACTAGTTTATTTTAAGTACCCGATATTCCATCTAATGAAAAGCTTGCTCCCCCCCCCCTAAATAAGAATATTCCAATTTATTTTTATGTTAAATCTTTACAGTTTTGTTCTAATTCAGTCAACAGGTTTTCAATTTTTTCAGCTCTGGTCCTCCGAAATATTTTTCTTCTTATTTAGTGTAATTCTTTAGAAAATCAATCGCATATACAGAATGCAATGAATATATTTTTTTATTTTATTTTGTGTGTGTAAAACATTTTAAAAAGTGCCGATACTACACGCTGATTCGAGTATTTGCTTCATCAGAAGTTCAAATTCGATACATGTGGACAAAGACGAAATCCTTCAGCAAAGAATGAACGAGGAGAGGTGTTGCTACATGAGTATAATCCATGGAACTAAATGTTTACCTCAATTACAGCTTAACGATAGAAATGACATGATGATATCTGGCACCATAATCTGAGAACTTGTTAGAACCTATGTTACTTTCAGATCAGAGACAGGGGTGGGGGGATCAGCAACAATACTTTTGTCTTAGGTAGAAGTGCTGATCAACAACAAGTAATTTTGTTATTTTTCAACAGGTACAATCTTTTTTTGGAGGCTGGGAATTTGTTAGAAACAAATATTTGTTTGGGATTTAGTTGATTTTTAAATATTTCATCTATATTTAAATGTTTCTTTGAGACGAAGCAAGAGAAATATGAAAACTGAGAACCTGCTTATAAAATAATTATCACTCAGGCATGTTTTTCAGAATCACGTTCATGATCAACATTGACTTAGCTTAGAGGGCCAAACAAGAGAAATTGAAAAAGAAAAAGACTGACCAATCTTCCAAGTGGAGGAGATCCAACAATGAAAATCAGAATTTGAAATAGGGATTTTCCCCCACTTGGGCTTGAATAGAAATGATTTTAAAATTTACATATGTAGAAAGCCAATTTTCTGCTTGTCAGGATAAATTACTCAGGGTGATAAAAGATTGGTGTTCAATGAGGCCTGTAAGACAAAATGTGAAATCTATAAGAGGAAACAAAACTAGGATGGAATGTCAAACCGTCAAGCCTGTTTCATATTTTATTTTATTTTTTTTTACAGTAAGGTTCACCCTGAACAAAGGCCCTGGGGCCCACTTGAGGTAGAAGGTTACATTAAGAGGTAGTTCATATGGATAGGAGGTGAACGTAACAGTTGACTCTAGACTTGAACAGGTTAAGATTGTAGTGACTGGGGAAACATCCTCTAGGGTGTCTGTTCCATAGAGCAGTGGTCCATGGGAAGAAGTTGTTTGAGTGGAACTTAATTCTCGCCAGTGGAATATGGAGGAAATGTGGGTGGTTTGTTACTATGTATATGGCATGGCGGGGGTCCTAGCCGCGAAGGTAAGATCTGGTGGAACCAGATGCATACAGATGTTATGCATAGATCATTGATAGGAAGTGAAAAGATGTGGTTGGTTCTAAACATTTAACGAACAATTAACATCTAAAAATCTGAGGAAAAGTGTTTGATAAGGATTTAACATGAAAGATGAGGAATGCCTAGTGAGTGAGTACAAGAGGAAGAATACTTTCTGACAGTCACATTTATTTGGGGTACGAAATACTTAAAACTATTTCTTCCTGAATTGACAGACATAACAAAAAGAGTTTGAACTAAGATAGAAAAGGTAGGCCATATTCCTGCCTATATCCCTACAAGCTACAGGCAATGAAAAATGGTTACCAACAAAGGAGAAAGAAAGTAGATTGCATGCCACACTTAAACACAGGTGGTGATAAACTTAGGGTGGTCATTTTTGGAGAACATTTAGGCGGAAAGAAATCAATGACAAACAAATGTAAACTACATTCCCAGTCATCCGTCTTGACAAACTAGCAAGCTTACTTGGCAATACCTTGATGACAACAACAGCAGACAAGCTCATCATTAATTTAAAGGAGGATAGATTTTTTTTGATTTTTTTATTTTTTTTTTAATTCTCTAGACACCATCTCTATATGGAATGCTAAAGAACTAAAAAGTTCTACCTACTAGGAGAAATTAGTTTATCCAAACTCCTAGAATAAAACCAGATATTACAACCAAAGGACTAGCCTTGTTATTTGAGGTTAGCCACTTCCTAGATTTATCTCTGCCATTTGTCACAAATTGGAGCTCACCTGTCCCTTAGTTTAAAAACTAAGGGACAGATGTTTTAATTTTTTTTTTTTCCATTTCTAAGTAGCAGCTCCTGAAATTGCCAAGTCCTCACTTTTAATATTATTTCGAAAATAGTACCAGCATATACAACATTCTACAATGTTCGCTTGTGAAATGTTCTGAGTAATTGTAACTAGGTTAATATTGCTGGTCATTGTGAGCAAATTCAGTTTGTTTAAAGCAGGACACTTTAACCTTAGTTGGCAACCAATTTAGGAAAACGACAACACTGGCTTCAAAACTGGATAAATCAATTATAAAACCACTCCACTCTCTTTTCACAAGAACAATTATATTTCCTAATAATACAGGTATTAAAGGAAAAAAAAAAAAAAACCTGGAGAACTATGACCATTATTGCCTGAAGGAACATGGTATTGTAGGAGAAGGAAGCAACCTGCATTTGGGGTTTGTATTCAGTTAAAAATCAGTTTTCTGAGTGTCAAGGTAGCTCAACTTTCTTATCTTCTTTTGATGTAAAGAAAAAAAAAATCCTTGATCTTGTGCCAGAGTGGCTAATTGTCTGACCTAATGAACATGTAACCAAACACTAATAATATATAAACTGTGCAGGTATTTAGTAAAATAATTCTAGAATTGTCGGAATTTTACCAATGATGGAACATTTCAACCAGTAATATCCTAGTTGCTCAGTAAATAACCAAAGTGAAACAGTTTTAAAGTAGTAACTCAAAACAATTGCAGTCTGAACTAACTAAAAATTGTGATTCAGTGTCAATCAATGAAATTGGAATTAGGACGGCAATAATACAAACAAAAACAATACAAATGAAATGGAAAAACAAAATACACACTGCAAGCACACGTCTGAAACAACAACACAGATACACAAATTACAACCAAACAAAATGATGAATACATACAAACAAATTAAAAATAAAACAAACATTTTAATTATTTATAATGCATTTTTTTTATCATTCCGATTTTGAAGATGCCTACAAATATGGCAATCGAAAGATGTTTACATTGAGGGAAAGTCGCTAATTGCCGAACACTTCTGCTTCTTAGTAATATAGACTGACATGCTTCCGAGCCTACATGTCACGCTTTGCTATTTTCCTCTCTCCCTTCACTATGATAAAGAAATATTATGGGGAATAGGGATGAGGGTGAAAGAAAATATTATCCTATCCGGAGACTGTATGGTGTCCGGCAATTTTTTCCACTTTATATCCATATAAAAAAATAATTTAATAATAATTTTTTTTTTTTAAACATGAACAACACTAGAAATGTACAACTCAATGAGAAATAAAACTGAAATCGTCACAATATCACAAACAAATGAAATAATAAACACAATGGGCAGTGGGTACAAAAGACTTACCCCGACTAGACAGCCGTTCCTCCAAACAAACCTTGGGAGTGACTACATAAATGGTTATTCAAACGCCTTTACCAGCTGAGCCAAAACAACCACCCCCCTTTTTTTTTTTTTTTTTTTTTTTTTATCAATCCTTATAATATTTATAGCGTTGGGTAACGTGGAATTCGCACGCCCAAGAACTTGAGGCTTCATTTAGACTCGAACCACCCGAACCAAGTGTATCTCTTACTAGACCTGGATCGAGAACGTGCCAAAACACTTGCTCAAGATCTTCACCTCGGCCCAAACTTGAGCCTACCATGCTTACGGTGCCAAACGGTTGACTAGAGAGGCAACATCTTTAAGTGATGAGCCACGGCACTCACCACGTGACATGCAACAGACATTCTTTATTTAGCGGTAAAATAATAAATAGACACTGAACAAAACAGACGAGAATGTATTGTAAAAGATAGGGATATGTATATAGAAAAGAGAAAAAGAAGGAAGGAAAATTTTTTTAAGGCTATTAAGTTGGTTTGGTGGCAGTAGTTCCCTCGCCGGGCGATGTATATTTGTTGTAGGTCGATCATTTCGAGTGCTTTGAGTGTGGGTGGTAGCGCGCACATGCCGACCCGACCGGCCGGGCTCGTCGACTATAAATGGAAATGAAGTCAGCTGAGTTGGGTTTCAGTCTTACTATCATCATCATCATTACGTTATGCCTGGATCGGCAGCTGAATATCACAACAAAGGTAACAATATCAGAAGGAAAATGAGACATGGATATGATTTACCTGCTATGTTAGCGATGACACGCCTTTCGATGGTGATAGATTAAAAAAAAAAAGATTAAAAAAAAATGAAAATATTTCGTAAATTTCATTTAATCACAAAATGACCAGCAAAATGGATTTTTAATGCATACTAAACGACAGACATGCAGTTGTTGAGTTATATGATAAAAAAAAATCATTGATGACAGTCCATTGCCGATTTTCTTTTTTTAAAAAAGGGGCGGGGTGAGATGGCTGTTTTACAATTAAGGTCATTAATTTTTTAAAAACTTCAGATCTTTAATAAATTATAGTATCGACATTTATCAGAAATTAATTTTAAAAATAATTACAAAAAAAAAATAAAATTTAAAAAAAAATAAAATTTATCTGAATCATCATCACATTAAGCGGGGGTGGAATGACTGACGAAAAAAAAATGTGGACACTTCATCACAAAACAGGTTTTTAATATCCATGTTGTATTCTGCCCAAAACAATTAGACACCATTTGTGACAGCGACAAGTGGGCAACGTTACTGATGCCTCTGCTTCACTTCAAGTTTTACGTCGGTGTTATTGTTAAATCGATATTTTTTTCAATCGAGGCGTTGATCGATTTTTCATTCTCCAACTATGAATAAAAATTTAAAGTTACTTTTTTATTAAATTTTATACTTTTAAAATATTTAGTTTCTAAATTTATAATACCGCCAATTGATCATTTCTTAAGAAGTTCAGTGTGTGTGTGTGTGTGTGTGTGTGTGTGTGTGTGTAGATCCAACCGTCTTGATGGCAAAGCAAATGCACGCACCTAAGTGTTGTTAATCAGCATTACTTTCTTCAAATAGTCACGTGGTTTTTTTTAGCTGACAAAAACGAATGAAGAGAAACTAGTTACTAGATCTTCGAATTTTTCCAGTTTCGAAAATGACCCCCTCCGAGTGTAAAAATGAGATCGGGTATTTTTTTGTTTTTGTAAGTATTCACCTCGGGGCAATTACGGATTTTACATGCTGTACAAAAAAAAAAAAAAAAAAAGAAAAAAAGTTTTCGTATTGTTTGATTGTTTGGTCAATTTTTTTGTAATAATAATTTTTTCTTTTTCGTCGACGAGTTTTTCAAAATCCGACTTAAAGAAAAAAGAAAAGACTTTTTAGAACTTAAGTTTGGTTGGTTAATGCTACGAGCACTGGGCCGTGACTACCGACTGGGCTCTTGTAATTAATAATCGATTTGTTTTATACTGGAGGAATAAATTAATTAAGACATTTTTTTACTAGTAAAAACTCAGCAATTTGAATATTATATGTGAAGCAACAATTACAAGTAACTGAAAAGATAAAAATCTGTAACAAAAAATCCCATAATATGAGAAACTAAAATAAAAATTATGACCTCCGTCACTGCAAGAAGTTTTTGTGGTCATTGTCCTAAAAAACTCAAAACAAAACATTACAGAAAAGTTTGAGAAATTTGAAGGAAAGCTAATTAAAAAAATAATCCCACAAAAAATTTAAACATTAAAAAATTATGCCAAACTTTGTTTAAGGTAATTTTATTTAAAAAAAAAAAAAAAAAAAAAAAAATGAAATAATAAAAATAAAAATCATTAGTTCCCTTATATCACAAATCTACAAGTGTGGGGATATCAGTGAAGATCGATCTTACGCCAAGGGTTTCACTGTAAACCAAATGAAAAAGTTCTCTACGAATTCACCCGAACAAAAAACAAAAACAAAAAACAATTCGCTTCATGAATTTGCCAAAGTTTTACTAAAACTCGGGGTCAAAAACGGAGGGTCGATTTGGATATTTTCAAAATGACAGTTTTAATCACGCGAAGGGAACGAACTCCTCTTTAAAGTAAAAACGAATCCGGACAACTTCTAGAGAGCAGACGCGCGCGTACCTGTTAAAAAGTTTTCAAAGGAGTGCCTATAAAAATGTATCCCGATGAATAAGGAGAAAGACGACAAAAAAGTAATCAAGATTTCTATGCGCTGACAAATACAAAACAAAAATTTAATTTTTAATTCTATTTAATTTAACGATATTCACTAAGTCTTTTCAAGGTCGGTCGTTGGCAAAAAAAAAAATAAATAAATAAATAAAAAATAAATTACAACAGCGGAAAACGACCTTTAAAACGTCTCTTCAGGAAGCCGTTATTTGTCAACAGTAGCTTTTTTTTTTCTTATGGTCACATATTTGAAGAAAATGGATGTTTGTCGAGAAAAAAAGTGGGGGCGATTTATAGGTAGCAAAAGGGAAAACGTTTTAAGAAAAAAAAAAGTTCCGTTTTTTTTTCTTTTTTCTTCTGCGTGTCGCAAAGAAGAGTGTTTTTAAAGCATACACGTGACCAAACACTTAATAATTACGGCGATTAAATCATGAAAGTTTTTAAATGAATGGTATAGGTGCTCGGCAGTCAAAATATCATTTTTTTTCTGTAGCGTTTTTATGAAACCAAAAAGTGTGACTTAATTTTACAACTTTTTAATTCTTTTCTAGAACTTATTTTCTTTAAATTAAAGAATTATAGTGATTTTCCAAGCGTAGCTTAGATGTGGCACAAGGCCGAAATGAGGGGGCACCCAGTGATGATCGAACTCACTACTCAGTCGTAATTGTTCTAGCGAGCCAAGCTTGCTAACCATTACACCGCCTATATGCGATATCAAAATAAAGAAAAGTAACTTTTTAAAAATTCTTTTTCGGGTTTTAATTAAAAAGGTACCGTCCAGGAAGGAATTAAAAATTAAAGAAAAATTAGTCCAGGCACTAGTTGGTGCTTATTATGGAAAATAAAAAGACAAAAAAATGGAAGGTTTTTGTACACAACCAAACTACACAAGAAGAGAATCAGGTTCCCTATTCCCATCAATTTATATATAAAAAAAAAAGAAAAAAAAAGTGTGCTTAAAATGACAATTCAGTCAGGATAACTCCCCCCTACAATTCCTTTTGCTGACCCTCGAAGTGGACAATATAAAAGGGGGTAAAAAAAGAAAAATAAGTGTGTGTGTGTCTTTTCAACCAATGTGTGTGTGTGTGTGTGTGTGTTTCCATTTAGGTCACATGTACAAATTGCACTCCAAGAATGTTGGCGCTATGAGTCACAAGACACTGACCTCTGACCTCGCCGCTCAGCCAATCAGCTGCCAGTGACGTCAATCAGCCTAGCTTGTTGCTGTGTGAAACTGCTAAAAATAGGCCAGCAGCAAGCAGAAAAGAAATGATAGGAAAGGGGGAACCTTATGCAGGAGGGACTCAATAGACTATTACAGAGAGGGTGGGTACTGAGAAAGAGCGCTAGTTGTGTTATAAGGAGTAGTAGTCGTAGCTATAATGGTACTGATACTAATAGTAGTTGGGGTGGTAATCAAAGTAAAAATGTAGACTTAATAATGGGAGTGGCAGAAAATAGAACTCGCAATAACGATGACAAGTAGTAGTAGTGGTGGTGGCTGCAGCGACGGAAGTAGTAATGATGATGGAAGCAGTGGTAGTAGGGAAGTGATAAAAACAGTAATAGTAGTAGTTGTACTACTTACTACTTGTAATATTTTGCATCTCCACATGATGCGAAATTCGACACAAGGTCAAGCTATTTACATGTGGGTTTCTAAAAAATAAAAATGAAAATTCTAGGGCATGACGACTGAGCCGCAGACATCAGGGAGGAACTCCTTTTGTGTCTATAGTGGAAGGTTTCAGGTGGCCAGATGCTTTTGAATTGACAGAATACTTGGCCAAGTGTTGTTAGTGGTGGTAGTACTGACTTTAGGTGGTGATTGGTAGAAGCAGTGACATTATTTTAGTTGTGTTGGTAAGAACTTAGTTTTTTAGTCGTGGCTTTTTAGTCCTTCTTGTAATCTTGTTGAATACAAGGCCAAATTTAAAGCAAAAAGGCAGAGGAGAGGATACTTTAAATAAAATCTTAATTTATTGATTTAACAAAAAAGAAGATTAGTAACTATTTAATTTATTAATGTCAGTGTTGTAGAGTTAGATAACAAAAGTTTGTAGTACAAGGTAATTAAAGTAAAGTGGAGCACTCGGTGTAGATCGAACTCACTAGCCATTGCTTTACGACAGGCACTTAGTAACCCGGTTAAAAAACAAAGACTTTAAGCAATAAGAAGACTAAGAACTAGAGAGGGTGAAATTCATATTGGAAAAAAATGTCTTTTTTCGATTTATGAAACAAATATCAGTGAAACAAGTTGAGCGACTAAAACGAGTTCAGCAATCAGAGATTTTTTTGTGCGGCACAAGGCCAGTAAAGTCGAGAACCATACGAGGATCGCAGTCGCTGTTATTGGCATGTTAAAGTAGCTTACATTGAGTTTTTTTTTTGTTTTAAAACAAAAAAGAAAGACTAAGAAAGAAATATTCAGAAAGCGAGTTAGATACTCCTCAACATTTTCGAGAGTATCTCTAAGTAATACTTAAAAAGTAGAAGGAAAAAGAAAGAGTAAATGATCAAAGAGAGAGGAAGGGAGAGAATTGAAAGTGAAGCTTTTTTTTTTCTCTTGGAGCGAGAAGTGTGCATCAACAATACTCTCTCCTCTCCATACTGCGTGTTGCTAGGGAGAGCGAAAGGGGGCTGGGCTAAGGGTGGTCTGACGTGGCTCGTGATGTAGACAAGATATCACACACACACAATATATATATATATATATATATATGTGTGTGTGTGAATCGAAACGGTAAACAAAGACAACTAAATGACCGAATTAGAAAATAAACAGACCAAATGATTGAGTAATTTTTAGGACGGGATTTTCTTTTAATGTTCGTGTTTTTTTTTTTTTTTCTTGGAGTGGAAAATTCGAAGGAAAAATCCAAATTTTGGGGTTTAGAAAAGAAAAAGAATCATATGACTCTTAACAAGGGGGGGAGAGTCATGTGACTAGAGACAAGAGAGAATCATGTGACTGGAGACAAGATCATGTGACTGCAGGAGAAGGTGGCGACGGGCAGGGTGAAAACTTTGAAAAGAGTTGGTATGAGTGAGAGAGAGAGAGAGAGAAAATGCTCGCTCATTCCCGACAGACGGAATCAGACAATAATCCAAGGAGGGGCACTTTATCAAAGAATCGACAAAGAGGGTGGGCTAAAAAAGAGAAACGGAGTGAGGATATATGCAGAGATAGTGGTGGTGGCGGCAGGAGATGAAAAAACCGTAATGGTGGCGGGGGTGGAGGACATAGCAATAATAATAATACCACCACCAGTGATATCATTAGTAGCAGCTGATTTAAAGCTTCAGCTATAAAGACCTACCCAAGCATGACCTACAATTCATTCACTTTGCCAAGCGCTCGGAAACTTTCAGGAATTTTTCGAAGCAGCTACGGAGGAAGTAAAGGGAAAGTGACAATGAGATATCCGAAGTTAAGGGAAGGACCCCCCCCACACTTAAATTTTTGCCTCTCTCCCTCATTTCGACACCCTTGTTTCAGGTCCATCTTTTCATGGACAATCCCGTCAGAGTGATTGGAAATTAATGTAAAATAAAAATTTATTTTTTTTAATCTATCAATGTTAGAGATTTTCTTTGAACACAGGTAAAAAGCTTAGTTTAAATTTGAATGTTGATTTTCTAGGGAAGCAACGTCTCCAATTAAAATTCTTCCCCTCCAGGCGCAACATAATCTTTCTGCCCAAATTTCTCAACATCTGGATCTATCATTATTTAAGTTAAAATTTAAATGATGCACGAAACAAGATTATTTTTTTTTTGTTGCTTGACGTGCCATTTTTTCATTTTTTTTTTTTTTTTTTTGGTCAAACTTTACTGAATTAGCATTTTTTAATCTCCAAACCGCAAACAAACTGGATCAGTTTAAGAAGAGGAGTAGATTCGTGTACAATTGTAGGCAGTTAATTCAGTTCAGTTGTTACTGTTTGAGGTAAAGAAGGAAACAAATTATTAAAATTTACTTACCTGTTTTATTTATTGATTGATATTGACCCAGTTACCTTGAGCATTCTTAATGCCAACATTCTGTTACTTTGACGTACGTCAAGTTATATAATTATTAGTAGGAGTTATTATTTTTATTATGATGACCTGAGAAGAAGTTCGAAAAATCATGTAAGATATCCTTGACAATTTTTTTTTTACCATTTTTTTAAAGTTTTCTAAGCCTCAAACTTTAAAAAAGTAAACACTTTTGGTGTACTAACAACTCAATTGAACAATACTAAAAATTATGAAAGAGGTCGTTAACGTTTTTCCATAACTTATCACAATGCACAGCTATTCTGATTTGAGGAGAGCCAATTATTTAATTTTGTTAAAATGAAATGGTAATCAAAATAAGTAAATTTGCAATAAGGAGAAAGGGAAAAAAAAAAAAAAAAGAGAGAAAGGGGGAAAAAAAGAGAAAACAAACTTGAGTCAGTCGTTTATTTTCCAGATTAATACACTTAGAACAAAGTGCAGTACTGACATTTATGATATAATCCCAAACAAGAATGAAACAGAGACTATCAATATTTCAGGTAGGAATGGCCCACCTGTTTTGGAAACTTGGCATTAGAAATGGAGTGATCTTAGCCTGGCTTGACCATCAATCAACAGCAGGTACTGAGGAGAAATAAACTACTGACTCAATCATGAAATGAGAATGAAGTGTCATTACACTAATTTGCTCTCCAAAACTTTATATGATGGTATTAAAAACTTAAGCTGAAACAATAGTCAACAAATTGGTGTCATTAAGTGGTTGGGGAAGAAATTTTTTAATGTTGTTCCAGGTCGATAAATATTTTGAGGGCAAAGAAGATGAAGATTAAAATAAAATTAACCAAATAAGAGGAAGTAGATCTGTCATAGTCTTTCAACTATGTAGGAGTTGCTTGCCTAGAAAATCAGCCTTGAAGCAGGCTTTTATATATATATATATATATATAAAATTTTTTTTCTTCTTTTATTTACATTGTTTGAACTGTTGTCCTCATCTTTATTGTCATATTCACAATATTTCGGCCATTGTACACTCTGGCCTTCTTCAGGTGATTGTAATTTCCAGCTAAACCTTTTATTATGTCCACTAGGCTAGATTGTTCTACTTCCATGTGGTTACATGGCCCAGTGGATATATAAAGACGTTGGTTAGATCCAGTAATTAGATCCAAAGAGTTGTGATTTCAATACCAGGCTACAGCAGTGGTGAACCAAAATACTTAGAGAGTTGAGTTAAAGGTAAATAACTGAGATATCCAGAAGAGGCATGGCATGTGAAACTAGAACAATCTATCCTGGTGGATGAAATACATGGTTCGGTTAAAAATTCCAATCACCTGAAGAAGGCCGTCATGTACAATGGCCGAAATGTTATGAATATGGCAATGAGGATAACAGTCTGTAAATAAAGGAAGATCTATGGAAATGTATATTTTGGCAAATACTCAGTCATGAAACCATAATTGTATTCTGCATTTGTAAATATGCAAAATAAATCTGCTACAGAAAATTTGACACATATCTGAAGAATCATCGGAATAGTGAAAGATACCTTCCAGAAACTAAGCAAAGTATTAAGGGATGAGAAAATTTAATTAAAAACTAAGAATAGAGTACTGAACAGCTGTGTTATATTTACCTTTTTAAGTGACCGAGATTTGGTGTTACAAAAGGATGCTGAGAATACCACTGACAAAACGTGAGCAATGAGAAAGTTTTAGAGAAAATGGAAACAAAAGGTTACATGCTTAAAATCAGGAAGAGACAGTTAAAATTTCTGGGACACATAATGAGGAAAACAGGATTGGAGAGCTTAACACTCACAAGACATACTGAAGGCAGAATAAAAACAGTGATTTACCTACCAAATGAGTTTAAAGAGCAGAGACAAAGAGGGATGGTAAAATCTCAAATGTTGCTTAGAGCTGCAAAGGATAGGAAGTTGGAAAAAGCTATGATTGCCTTTAAAGAAGTATTACCTTTAGTAATAGAGTTTATATATGGAATTGTGAAGTTGAATGTTAATTAATCTTTCTGAAGTTTTCAGAAACCAAATAATATTGGACTAACATTGTTAATTCAGAATCAATGCAGTGGTTTACAAATTAAGTATTACACAAGCATACATATAAAGAAAGTGAAAAAAAAAAAATCTCTAAATATTTACGTAATATTACTATAGTTCTACAATAGTGTCTTGGGTGAAACATTTTTATTATCCACTGTCTGGATTTATAGAATTAGATGAAGATTATGCAAGAACATTTGAATTTGTCTTACATGCTATACAAGCACATGGCCAAACAATTGAGAATGCTTGCATGTATTAATTCTGAAACTGTTATTGCCTGATATTCCAAACTCAGCTCTATTTTGATATACACTGTAAGCTAGGTATCTCGAAGGATTAGCTAAAAAATGAGCAGACATGGTGAAAAAATGCCCCAAACTTAATAAAATTAAAGTTTTATTGTCAAAATTATTAAGAGAAAAAGCGAAAAGATTTTTTTTGATTATTAAATTATATTTTATGATCTTTTGAAAACATTTGAAATTTTGGTTAAAAATTGTTTTCTTGTGTCAGCAGGGGACCCAAGATTAGTATAGGATTTTTTTTGTGATGAAAAAAACGTACTGATTTGGAAATTTTGCAAAAATCAAGTAATTGTCAGATTTTAATTAAATTTTCAGAACTAATTCACAAATGAATAAATTATTTTAGAATTTTTTTTTTTACATCTGTTACCCCCCAACTTATTTAATTTTATGAAATTTCAATCAATTCATTTTTGTACTACTTAATATTTATATTAGCTATATGCAAAACTTCTTGGAGTATTTAAAATCAGTTTTTCTTGTTTTTGTTTTGTAAACCTTATTCCCCAAATAAAATTTCAGAATAGTATATTTTATATTTGAAAGACTTTTTAATAAAGGGAATTGCATTGTGCTGAAATAAGGCTAAAATCAGTGATTTTTAGCCATTTAAAGAAAAAACATCTTCAAGTAAATTTAAATTAGTTTTGAAAAATATTTTGCTCATTGTAAATATTAAATTTAATCTATTAGCTTAAAATTAAAACTAAGATATAAGATTCAAGACAGATTTTTCATTTTACATATTAGGTATTGTGTTTCTTTGTAGGTACCTACTGGAAGCCCATTATCTTGGCCTAAGCACTATCCTAGTAGGTTAGATCTGGAGAGATTCTCTACTACTACTCTACAATAATAAAGTTTAATACAGCAGCTATTTACAGCCTTTCTTTTAATGGAATAAAATTTTAACCAAAATAGGTCTGTACCCTGGAAGGAAGTTTGAATGTGTTTTCTGTTTGTATTTTTTGTGCAGTTTACAAAGGTTAGAAAAAGAAAAACTCCTGTTAGTCATGGAGAATCAAGATTTACTGGAGGAGAAAAATGTTGCAGACAATAATGAGGGCAAAGAGGTTAGGGATACAAATAGTTAACGCTAGCATTTATCTTACATTCCTATTTAAACCAATCTTTTTATTTAATTTTTTTCTTTGATATTAATAATGGACAAAACCAGAAATACAAAAACTTAGGCACAACAATAAGGAAATGATAGTAACCATTCCTTTTCTTTAGTACAATGGAAATGTCTTATCTGAGAGATGTACTCTCAATTCTTGAGACTTTTCTTTTGACCTCTACCAACAGGGTGATGTATTCACCCATATTAGTTTGATTACTAGCACAATATCTAAGAGATCACAATGAATCCCACTGACATTTTGCTAAAGGATGAGCCAAGGGTCAAGGTGCAATTGATTAAATTCAGTGTGGATTCCCTTTTGTTTAAGAGATATTTCATATATTAGGACAATGGCTCAAATTTCTTTTTTGTTGTTTTTGTTGCATGAACAGAACTTCATAAAGTAAAAAAAAAATAAGTTTTTAAGTCAAAACATACAAGTAAAAAAAAAAAAAAAGGAACCAAGGGGTAGATGAGGACACAAATCAGTTTTTTTAATGCAATTTCTAAAAATGAACGGACTTATTTTTAATCAGACATTTTTATTCAACATGTCAAATGTTATTTGTCATATAGGAATAAAGTGTCGCTGCTGACACTTGAGTTTGTACATGGACCGCCAGAGAACAAGCACAGTCAACCTCATCTTGAAATAATTAGATCATGTGATGGGTAAAAATATATATATATATATATATATATATATATATATATATATATATATGGGAATTAGTGACATCTGACAGAGTATTGTTCAAAGGCATTACTATTATTGTATCTGATTTACAAAGTGTCTCCCACAAACGGACATTACAAAATTATTATAGTGGAGACTTATTTAAAATAGATGTCCTATTTTGATTTATTATATAATCTACACTTAGAAATGAGACACCTATTTCAAATAAAAAGTTTCCACTATAATAATAATGATTAACAATATAAAAAAAAAAAAAACAAACTTTATGGTAAGTTGAAGTGCTGTCATAATTTAATAATTCATTCTGGCTAGCATCATTACCTTTGTTATTTTGATCCTTTTTGTGAATTATCTGGTCTTACTTGGCTGTGTCAAGTTGTGAGGTAATGATCAAATGCTAACATTTGCACATATTTGTTTATTTCAAGATGTTTCAATTTGTTCATTCACCAACCTTCCATTAATGTATATCTCATATAACATTTTTTTTTATCTTAAAAAAAATCATATTCAATTCAATCTTTTCACTGGTCAAGATTTATATAGAAAAATCAATTTGATAATTTTTGTTGGAATTTTTTCATTTGAGGAATTATCTTTATCATATGGTTTATTATTAAGTCCAATTAATTTTTTACTGTTTTATATGTAATTTTATATGTAACTATCAGAAGAGAACTGAAATTTTGTATTAAAGAATATCAAATATTTTGATCCTATATACATTTTAAAATTTATAATTGCATTTATTTTGTAGTTTTAATGAAAGGTTTCATAGGATCACTACTTTTGGATAACAAGTGATTAATATAAAATTATTAAAAAATTTTATATACACAATATTTTTTTTTCATAAAAGTTTGTATGGTTGTAAGTCTGAACTAAGAAAAAAAAAATTCCAATGTTGATTTGAAGACATTCTTTAGG